CCATCTCAAAAAAAAAAAAAAAAAAAAAAAAAACCACACATTTATTATCTCACAGTTTTTGTGGGTCAGGAGTCTGGGTACCTGTTTGTTGGGTCCTCCACTCAGGAGGTCACCAGGCTGAAATCAAGATGTTATCCAGGAGTGAAAACCCATTGAGGTTCAGGGTCCACTTTCAAGCTCACTGGTTATTGGCAGAATTCAGTTTCTTGTGACTATAGAACTGAGGCCTGGCTCCTAGAGGCCACCTGCCATCCCTGCCATGTGGCCCTCTCCACAATATAGCAGTTTGCTTCTTTAAGGTAAATGAATCTCTTTGGCTTCTAGAAAGGCTTGAACCCATTTTTTTTTTAAAGACGAAATTTTGCTCTGTTACCCAGGCTGGAGTGCAGTGGCATGATCTTGGCTCACTGCAACCACCGCCTCCTGGGTTCAAGCGATTCTCCTGCCTCAGCCTCCTGAGTAGCTGGACTATAGGCTCCCGCCACCATGCCTAGCTAATTTTTGTATTTTTATTAGAGATGGGGTTTCACCACGTTGGCCAGGATGGTCTCGATCTCCTGCCCTAGTGATCCATCCACCTTGGCCTCCCAAAGTCCTGGTATTACAGGCGTGAGCCATCACGCCTGGCTGGCTTGAACCCTTTTAAAGGGCTCACTTCATTAAGTCAGGTCCACCCAAAGTAATCACCACTTTGATTAACTGATTAGAGACTTTAACTACATCAGTAAAATCCCTTATGTCAGGCAAATAGCATAATCACAGGAGTGAAATCCCAACAAATTCATGCGTTCTGCTCAGACTTAAGGGGAAGGGGGATTTTATAGGGCATATACACAAAAGATGGGAATCTTGGAGGCTATCTTAGAATTCTGTCTACCACAGACCCTCACTAAAGTAACTTTTTTTTTTGAGAGAGAAAGAGAGGATCTCACTCTGTTACCTAGGCTGAAGTGCAATGGTGTGATCACAGCTCACTCACCGCTCACTTGACCTACTGGGCTCAGGCGGTTCTCCCACCCCACTCTCCTAAATAGCTGGGACTACATGCAGGTGCCACCACATCTGGCTAATTTTTTTTATTTTTGTAGAAACAGGTTTTCACCATGTTGCCCAGGCTAGTCTCAAACTTCTGTGCTCAAGCAACCCACCCACTTCGGCCTCCCAAAGTGGTCGGATAACAGGCATGAGCCACTAAGCCTGGCCTAAAGTAACTTCATTTTTTTTTTTTTTTTTAAAAGATGGGGTTTCACCCTGATGGCCAGTCTGGTTTTGAACTCCTGACCTCAGGTGATCCACCCACCTTGGCCTCCCAAAGTGCTAGGATTAGAGATGTGAGCCACCACGCCCGGCCGTAACTTCTAAAGGTGTGCTTCAGGTAGAAGGAAAATAATCCAAGATGGAAGATCTGATATACAGGAAAGAAGAGCAGGCAATACTAAATATTGATATTAAACATATGAGCAAATCTGTACAAGTATCACCTATTTAAAATAATATCTGATTTGTGAGATTAACAAACTAGTATAATTTAAATATTGGGTTACAAAAAATATTTAAATTCAAAGAGAATTATTCATGTTAGGGAACTCTAAAATCTATGAATTGTTTTAAAGAAGAATGACGATATTGGTTGAAGATATTAAGCTAAATATGTAGATTAAAAATTCTAGGCCTGGCACAGTGGGTTACGCCTATAATCCTACCTACTACTCAGGAGGCTGAGGCAGAAGAATCGCTTGAACCCAGGGGGCAGAGGTTGCAGTAAGCCGAGATCACGCTACTGCACTCCAGCCTGGGTGACAAGAGAGAAACTCTGTCTCAAAAAGAAAAAAAGTCTGGATTATACAAAGTATAAAAAATAGTTGTTGTCACATTAGTTTGTTTTTTTTTGTTTGTTTTTTTTTGAGACGGAGTTTCGCTCTTGTTACCCAGGCTGGAGTGCAATGGTGCAATCTCGGCTCACCGCAACCTCTGCCTCCTGGGTTCAGGCAATTCTCCTGCCTCAGCCTCCTGAGTAGCTGGGATTACAGGCACGCGCCACCATGCCCAGCTAATTTTTTGTAATTTTAGTAGAGACGGGGTTTCACCATGTTGACCAGGATGGTCTCGATCTCTTGACCTCATGATCCACCTGCCTCGGCCTCCCAAAGTGCTGGAATTACAGGCGTGAGCCACCACGCCCAGCCCACATATGAGTTTACAGTATTGTTTTTAAAATGCTAAAACTATTTTGAGCCTTACACTGAAATTAAGAATCATTCAGTGGGAAGTCAGCCTGCTGCATGAGCTGCTCCCAACACCTGCTCCTTGTCCCCTCAGAAAAAAACACTTAATACAAAATAAAATTTTAAAATTACAAATTATAAATGAAAAACTGAGCAGGGGGTATTTGGCCAAAATTTGCTGAAAAGAAAATTATTCTTAAAGAAGACAATGGACCTTAAATTTGCAGACAGTGACACAGAGACTGAAAGGGCTCTCTGCTCAGTTGGAGAGACACAGAGCAACATCAGTGCAGTCACAGAGATGTGTGCAAAGGGGCTAATGAAGCCCCATAAATAGGGGTGGCTAGGGGAAGTGAAGGTTGGGAAAAGATCCACAGCAGAGGTAATATCTGTGCTGCCTCTTGGCAACTGAACTATAAAGTTAGTCAGGCCAACACGATCAGAAGGATATTCCAGGTAGAAGAAACCATATGTGCAAAAACACAGCCAGAGGGTGAAAAAAAACCAGACTGTGGTCCAAGAGCTGTGGATTGTCTGGCTGGAGATTAGGCTGTGGGTTAAGGAAGGGCAAAAGGCAAGGCTCTCAGTGAGGAGTGGGCCGTCTAAGTGTAGAGGAGGGGCTTAGAATTCATCCTACAAAGGAGAGGGTACCTTCAAAGGATTTTAAGCAAGAAAGCAAGAAAGTGTCTTATCACCATGATGAAAAGTGATTACTAGATGTGGCAGTGGGGAGAATAGATTAGAGGAGACAGGAAGGAAGTTTAAGAAACTGTCACTAATCAAGATCCAGATATATCATGACATGTTACAATTTGTAGGAAGGGACAAAACAATTGTACTTGCAGGTGCATAGAGTTTTGCCTTTGTTCACTTTCCAGTTGGGACTAATTTAGTTGACAATGAAAGGATACGTGAGACCCTGGCAACAGTAGTTGCCTCTCAGGAGAGGAATGAGTGGCTAATGTACAAGAAGAGAAAAATACTTAAAAAAGACCCTCTGTATCCTTTTGTACAGTTTTAATTTTGTACTTTGGATATGTATTACCAGGCCAAAAAAATTGCTTTTCTTCAGCCGGGCGCGGTGGCTCAAGCCTGTAATCCCAGCACTCTGGGAGGCCAAGGCGGGTGGATCACGAGGTCAAGAGATCGAGACCATCCTGGTCAACACGGTGAAACCCCGTCTCTACTAAAAATACAAAAAATTAGCTGGGCATGGTGGCGCGTGCCTGTAATCCCAGCTACTCAGGAGGCTGAGGCAGGAGAATTGCCTGAACCCAGGAGGCGGAGGTTGCGGTGAGCCGAGATCGCGCCATTGCATTCCAGCCTGGGTAACAAGAGTGAAACTCCGTCTCAAAAAAAAAAAAAATTGCTTTTCTTTTAAAGAGACTATCACATTGTAAGGAGATGAGTAATTTTCTTGAAAACAAACAAAAATAATAAAGGGGCTATTATACAATCTAGGAGAAAACATCAGGGAGAATGTGCCTGCCACCCACTCTCTGAACCTTCCCCTGGAGGAGCCCAAACTTTCTCAATCAGAAAGGGCCTCTTCAGAGGACTTAGGTCCAAGGCAGTAATGTATCAACTCTATCACCTGTATGGCCTACATCTCTGGCAGACCCTGAGAACAGAAACTCTGAATCTTCTTGCATTCTCTGTTTCTAGTGCCTAGTGTCCCCTCAAGAAGCCTTCATTACAATGACTAACTCTACTGGTCTGGCTAGAACTAGAGGATGAGAGAAGGAGGTCTGGGATCTCATATCCCCTTGCTGATTATATTTTGGGCTGAACGATTCTTCTACCAGCCTTCTAATCCTGACTTGTGCCAGCTGGGCTTCCCTAATGTGTGACACAAAAGTGTGGTGGGTCACCACTCAGCAAGAAGCTGGGTGCCAAGAAGCAGGAGGTGGTCCTGGGAGACAGTCACTAGAATGCCAGGGGTACAGGGAAGAGGGGCAGCACAGAAGATGCCCATCCTTCCTTACCTTGGAGTAGATTTGTGAGCAGAAAAAGCCCAACAATAGTTAGTGGCAAAGGTGAGATCCAGCCCCTCTGGGCTAAGTGTCTTGGGGAATGCTGGGAGGAGATGAAAACACTGTCACTGAGTGATAAAGAGACCACCTTGAGGAAGACATGGACTAGGAGGGACATATTACCTTCAGTAGAAATGCCACAGGCTCATGTACATGCAAAGATGGGGTAATGAAGTTTAAAGCTATAACTCAATGTCAGTTTTTTAGAGGAGGGAATGGATTAGTGTGTTTTGGCAAGATTGCATAGGTTAGGCTTTGAGGATACCTGTTTTGGGGTCCCTGAGCTTGAAAGAAGGCTGCCGAAACATGTTTGGAGAAGCAAGCCAAGGCACATACCACCAACTCCAGCATTGTTTACCAGCGGATATATCTCAGGATTCTCCTGTAGAAGCTTCTGGGCAAAGCTCCGAATAGAGGTCATGCAGCTGAGGTCCATCTGGCCAATCAGGAGATGGTTGCTATTTGAAGTTACCTGGATCTCGACCAGGGCTTGCTGTCCATGTTCCCTGCTCCAGCAGGCAAGGATCACTCGGGCCCCACACTGAGCCAGTTCTTGGGATACAACCTTCCTGATGCCTGTGGGAGGGCAGGTTTGAGTAGGCTAATCTGAGTGGTGACTACAGTGGACAAGGGACACTCTAGGGGAGGGACAAGGGTGTTGACAGTGGATGCTCCTACCTGCCCTCCCTGTGGGTGTTGCTGGGGGCTGAGGCCCATTGTGAGGACACAGGGTGGGAGGAGCACTCACCACTGTTGGCCTCAATCACTACGGCTGTTTTCCCAGTCATATCTGTGGAGCAGTGCTGGAGGTCCCAGGGATGAGACTTCTGCCAGAGCTGCACACATAGTTGAAGCCAGGAGGACCAGAATAAGGAGGACAGAGCCAGGGCCCCAGACCAGGGTGCTGAGCGTAGCCCACAGCAACATACCAGAAACTTCCCGGGCCTGCTGGGGAAATGCTGTAGGAGAAAGTTGGGGCAGGATAAATCTGGGCAGAGTGGAGCCTAGGATAAAATTTAAGGAGGCACTGACTTCTGAGTTTTTTCAGTATACTGTTTGAATTTGAGAGTTCCTCCTTAACTCCAAAAGTGAAATTTGGATTTGCAGTCTAGGGTGAAGTGACCAAGCTCCAGGGACCAGGGAAGCAAGAAATCAAACTCCTCACATCTGGAATCGCTCTGTGCTTATGCAGAGCCATCTTCTTCCTCCCCTACTGAAAGGAGGCCCGAAGTTCTCTCTACAGAGCCAGACCCACTGGCAACCCTTATGTCCCCAAAGGAACAGGGGTCTCTCTAGAATGCCTCTGTGACAGCGCAGCTTTGGTGCTAAAGCAGGGTCTCCTAAGGGTGGCAAGGGGGCTATTTCCTGAACCCTGGTGCTATCTTCTTTTAGGTCTGCAGGATAACTGCTCCCCCTGGAGTTCAGTGAGAGAGTGGACACCCTTGGAAGAAACTGACAAGAGACATCAGACCACTTCCTAAGGCAACTCAGGTGTTTATTTCTGGCAAGCAGAGGGAGGAGCCCATTACCACTGCCAGAGGCTCAGGGCTCAGAGTGAGGCAGAGGGCTTAGTAGGGCATGACCACACTTTGGGGACTGAGTTCTCCAATAGCTGTGCCACGGTCACCTGGGGCTTTGGGGGACCTGTCTGGATGGGTTGTTGCTCAACGGGAGGAAAGGTATCACTTTCTTTGTCCTCCTGTTCAGGCACACCAGAGCTGAGGAGCACCTGGGTGCTCCGGTTCCACATGCTTACGCCAGGGGCCAGCTTCATGGCTTCTGGCAGCAACGGAGGCTTCCACATCACCTGGGAAGTGGCTTCAAGGACCTGGGGTGTGGTTTGAGGCCATCTGCCAGAGTCCTGGCCCTCCCTGTCTTCCAGCTCCAGACCCTGTGGAGGCACGCGGGTTCGGCCAGCCCACAGTTCGCCCAGCAGCTCGGCCCCCTGCTCCCAACCGCTGGGCCACCTGGCACTGGGCCACAGCTTGGGGCTGGGGCTGCAGACCACATCAGGGAATACCGGGTGTGTGGTGAGGAGGCGGATCCCAGAGCCGGGGAGTGGTAGCTTTGACCGGAAGCATGGCGACGATAGGCCTAAGTTTAAAGTGGGGAACTGGAGTGTGGGGCCGGAGTCCGAGGCACAGAAAGGAATGCCTGGCTGGAGAGGGAAGAACGTTGCCGGGGAGACGCGGGTGCCGGGGCTGGGGGTTTGGGGTTCGGCCCGGGCCTTGGTTTTCTTGCCCCGCTGGTGCCCGTGGTAAGTTTCCAACGGGCGTTTCTGAGAGTCTGAGACCAGGACCTCGGCCAGGGGGCGCACCCAGTGGCGAGGGAGCCGCGCAGGGTCTAGGCGCTTCAAGGCTGCCTTGCAGGGCATCCCGTGGTGCTCAGCACTCAGCTGCACATCCGAGGGCCCGGCCTGCTGCTGCTGGAAGGATGCAGTGGGGCGCGTGGCGCCGCCCACAGAGGGGCAGGACACCCACAAGCCCGAGGTGAGGCGGAGTACCCCCTCTGACTTGTGCTCCAGCTGATCCCCAGCTGCGTCCAGCTGGGGCATGCAACAGTAGAGGTCTTCCAATGACAAATGGGAGCCAAGGGGCTGTGCCCTCTCGGTTGAGGCCTGGGGGCTGGCTACCACGGACGGCTCCAAAGACGGGTTGGCATCGTCGGCAGGCGCCTTCTCCACCAACAGTTGGAAGCTCACACTCGAGGACCCAGCCGAGGAGAGGCGGCCTCTGGACTGGCAGTCCGCTTCCTCTACAGGACCTCCGGGCCCTGCCCCCTGAAACAGCTCCGATGTGGGAGAAGGGGCCGAGGTGACTCTCATCTCTGGAGAAGGCTCCCAAGACTCCATCTGCTCCTGGGAGCCTCGACCTATCCACGACCTTCCTAAGGGGATCTGGTCCACGCCCCCAGGGTCCTGGGAAAATGCGCTCGGGCAGTGAGATGTCGGAAAGGGTAGAGCAGGAGTAAGGGCAGAGGAGTACGAGGAGGCTCCTGAGGAGTGTACTTCACCTGGGAAGTTTTCCAGGCCCTCTGAGGTGGGCGCGTGCAGCACGGGCACTGAGCCCTGAGCCCAGGAGTCCGTTGTGCATGCCGAAGGCTCCTCATCCTCACCCCATGTGGGGTCCTCTGCCACTGCAGATTCTCCCTCGTCCCGGGCCAGGAAGCGCCACTCCGTGATCTGCAGCATGGCCTCCCGCGCCTGGCTGATGGTGAATGGAATGCACTGTGGAGGCAAGAGAGGGTCTCAGGTAGGCAGGGAGGGACGGGAGAGGTAGCAGATGAGTCTGAAGGACCCGGTTCCCGGCCCACCTGCTGAGTCAGGTAGACTTTGAAAGCAGAGTCCATGACTCGAGCCAGCAAGTCGGCCAAGATGTCCCCTACCACATCCTCGCCCTCCTCGAGGGCTGTAAGCGCCATCCACTCGGCCTCACTGAGCCGCCCAGGCACGATATCCACCTGCGGCACTGGCACGGTGGGCGGTCGCACTTTTTCCGCCTTGGACCGGGTCACCCCGCGGTCTCGGACCTGCCTCTCCTGCCTCTGTGAGAACAAAACAGGGTAGTCAGAGTAGGAAACCAAGAAGTGGAAGGGAAGAGCAGCAATAGGCTAGGGGAAGCTTTCTCAAGTTGTCCAGTAGGAAGGAAAAGGGAAAGGGCCAACTGAGGAAGAGCCCACTATGTGACAGATACTTAGCAGATGTTTGACCTAATTATTAATACTTTTCATGACAGCCCACTAACCACATTTGACAGGTAAACTGAAGTGGGGAGGCTGAGGCAAGATAATTGCTTGAACCCAGGAGGCAGAGGTTGCAGTGAGCCGAGATTACCGCTACTGCACTCCAGCCTGGTGACAGAGTGAGACTCTCAAAAGAAAAGAAAAGAAAGAAACTGAAGTCTGACAGAAGTTAACCACCCTTGCTTGGGAGCACACAGTGAGCAAGCCCAGGCAATGTGAAGGTTTAACTTCATGTTCCTTATACCGGTGCAAAGTGTTCAAAATTCTTGAGAGTTCAAAGAACTTGAGAAAGAAACTCAGTCAACAGTCCTGGAATTATTGGTGCTATTTAGAGTCTTCTCTACATTTTGTTTTCTGGAAAAGGATTTTTTTAAAAAAATTCAAGTAACTGCAAATAGGAAACCAGAAGGGGAGCCCCAGGTTGGGGCAGATCATGGCTATCCCTCCCTGACAGACCAGGGAGAGGAGGTGGCCCCTATACCCTTTATGGTCGATTGGGGGCCCCTTGCTCACTCAGCTGCAGCATCCTACGTGCAGGACCCCAACTGGGATAGTTGGTCACCCAGCCTGCCATGTCCCACCCCCTCTTCCCCACAAAGAGTATCTCAGGGAGGGGATCATAGGCAGAGCAGGAGGCAATGAGGATGAACATTTGGCGCTGGTAGCAGCAGCAATAACAGATGTCAAAGAATGGAACATTGAACCAAAAACAACACAACTGCCCAGAATTAGTTTATGAACAGAGGAAAAATGGATGGAATCAGAACTTTTGGGGGGTGGGAAGAGCAGGAGGATTGGGACCAGGCAGGGTGACCTCCTTGTTATTGGTGCCCCATCTGAGGAGGGGGAAATGGCTGAGTGGTGGAAGCAAAGTAGGGTTGGGGGAGCAGCCCCAGCCCACCTCAGGTGGCTGCCACAGGGCTCATGGGCCCCACCAGGACAATAGGTGACTGAATCTCCATCACTGCAATATGTACTCAGATCCCAGGCAGAAGGCAAGGGGGCTGGAGCCACTGCAAAGAGGGAGGAGGGGACTCACACCCCTCCTGCTTTTCTGTAGCCAATGGGGGCTGTCCAACCTAGTGCAGGGACTAGGGAAGGTAGGGAACAATGAAAGGTGTGAGCCCCACGTGGTGACAAAGACAGTTTGGGTGAGGGAATCCTGGGGGCCAGCACCCCCTTCCATAGGCCACACCTTCTGCTGCCAGGACAGTGGAGTGAGGCATCCCAGAATGGGGGCTTGGGCCCCTTTTAAGGCCAGGGGAACCCTCCCAGGCCCCTCTATGGGAAGCCAGAGGGAACAGTGGAGGAGCAGAGAGGTGGTCCCCAAACCAAAAGCCCAGAGAACAATGTCCCCACTATCAAGGGAGTGGGGATGCAGCAGGGTCAGGGTGTGGCTAAGTGGGACATTGGCTTTGTCCAGGAGGGCACGTGTGTATGCATGAGTGGGGGGGAAGGGGAAGGAACCGGGTGGGGGGCAATCCTCCCAAGTCAGCGCATGGGGGCCCTGCAGCAGCTGGTGTGCTGTGTGGTGTGGTGGTAAGGGCACAGGTAGAAGATGGGGGTGGCCACCGCCGCTGGTGATGGTGGGCCTGGGGAAGGGATGGGGGTGGTGGGAATTGAGCATAGCCGTCCTGTCCCAAAAGGAAGCTGCTCCTCCAGTGAGGAGCCAACAGCACATATGGTCACTGCTCCTCCTCCACGGACTCCTGTGAGCTGCCCTCCTTTTCCTCCTCCTCCAGTTTTTTGGGTCTGTCCCTTGGTTTCCTTCCTAGAACTGTGGTGATTTTTCAGGTCTTGGTAGCACCCTTGTTTTTGCTTCCCTTTGGTCTGTCCCGAGGTCTCTTAGGTGTTGACACTTGACTAGGCTCCTTCTGACTCCCTACCAGCGCTGTCCTGGGACTCACTGGAGGCTGCTTGTGTGGCCTGCCCTGGGCCCACTTCTCAATGCCGTCCTTTTTCTGCTTGGAGGCCAAGGGCTGGCTGGACTTCGAGTTCAACTTGCTCATCTTCTCTACTCTAAGGGGCAGGTGGAAGAGTGATGGCTGGGATGCGCAAGCTCGGCAGCTGGCCTGCGGTATGCACTCCGGGTTGCCTGGAGTGGCGGTGAGGGGCCCTGAGGACTGGCCTGGCTCCAATGTGGCTGTGGCTGGTTATAAATGCTGGATGCCTTCTCAGAGCCAGAAACAGCCCCGACTCAGAGTCCCAATTAGAAGAGCACAGCCCCGATTCAGGGCAGCATAAAAAGTTTGCTACATTTTTACCAACTATTCTTTTCTCCATTTTATGGCAATTTACCCAGTATCACACAAGTAGAGATAGTGAAGTCAGAATGCATTCACATGCAAGTCTGACTCCAGAGCCTCTCAACCAAAGACATTTACAACAAACATGAAAAAAGATAAATATCCCCGAGTAAATTAAAAGCTCACATAAAAGAAGAAAAATCAGCCAGGCGTGGTGGTTCACGCCTGTAATCCCAGCACTTTGGGAGGCTGGGGCAGGCGGATCATTTGAGGTCAGGAGTTTCGGAGCAGCCTGGCCAACATGGTGAAACCTCAGCTCTACTAATAATACAAATTAGCCAGGCATGGTGGCCGGCGCCTGTAATCCCAGCTACTAGGGAGACTGAGACACAAGAATCACTTGAACCCGGGAGGCAGAGTTTGCAGTGAGCCAAGATCCCACTACTGCATTCTAGCCTGGGCAACACAGTGAGACTCTATCTTTAAAAAAATAATAACATTTAAAAAATGGAATAAAAATGGCCAGGCACAGTGGCACATACCCACAGTTGCAGCTGCTCAGGAGGTTGAGGCAGGAAGTTCAAGTCCAGCTTGGGCTATTTTACAGTAAAAGTTTAAACTATAAGAAGAAAAACCATTTAAGATCCCAAAGATAAGCAAAGGACATGACATTTCACAAAAGAGGGACTGTAGATGACTAATAAATATAGTATTGAGATTCTGATTTCTAGTTCATCAAATTAGAAATTATTTTAAAAATAAGAATACATTGGCAAAGGTTTAGTGTGACACCATCCTGCAGCAGTATGCATGAAGACATTAAAAAATGTTTTCGCTCCTTCAACCCTGCAATTTCAGTTCTATAAATACAACCAAAAGGCATTTTATGAAATGAAGATAAAAATATGTTCTCCAACAAATTCTTTGTGGTTTTGTTTATAATAGCAGGATATTGTAAACATGTTTTAAAAAGAGAATAAATAATTGACTATGCTATAGTGAAATATTATGTAATGATTAAAGGTAATATTTTTTTTTTTTTTTTTTTTTTTTTTTTTTTTTTTTTTTTTTTTTTTTTTTTTTTTTTTTTTTTTTTTTGAGATGGAGTTTCGCTCTTGTTACCCAGGCTGGAGTGCAATGGTGCAATCTCGGCTCACCGCAACCTCTGCCTCCTGGGTTCAGGCAATTCTCCTGCCTCAGCCTCCAGAGTAGCTGGGATTACAGGCACGCGCCACCATACCCAGCTAATTTTTTTGTATTTTTAGTAGAGACGGGGTTTCACCATGTTAACCAGGATGGTCTCGATCTCTTGACCTCGTGATCCACCCGCCTCGGCCTCCCAAAGTGCTGGGATTACAGGTGTCAGCCACCACGCCCAGCCTGGTAATCTTTTTTTGTTTGTTTGTTTTTGTTTTTGAGACAGAGTCTTGCTCTGTCACCCAGGCTGGAGTGCAGTGGCACGATCTTGGCTCACTGCAACCTCTGCCTCCCAGGTTCAAGTGATTCTCCTGCCTCAGCCTCCAGAGTGGCTGAGATTACAGGCACCTGCCACCACACCTGGCTAATTTTTAAAATATTTTTAGTAGAGATGGGGTTTCACCATGTTGGCCAGGCTGGTCTTGAACTCCTGGCCTCAAGTGATCCACCTGCCTTGCAGGTGTGAGCCACTACATCTGGCCATTAAAGGTACTCTTTAGAAAGAATTTGCAATGGCATAAAGAAAATGTTTATGATGTAATGTTAAATGAAAGAAGCAGGATACAAAATTACAAATCAATTATGATCTCATAGATGTAGACCACTTTGTGTTGAACAAAAGAAAAACATCAAAATGATAACAGAGGGTATGTTTCCTTCCTATGTCTTTTTTATTTTGTAAGTTCTCTACAATGAGTTTGTTTCCTTTTATAACTTAAAAAAAAAAAAAAAAAAAAAAAGACTAGTCCCCAAAACTCACTTTACTGACATAAAAAGTTTACAATCTCTTGGGAGCTTCCTCAATTCCTCACACCAGTCTCCCCGAACCTGGTTCCTTCCAAAATTCACCTTCAAACGTGACCTTTCTGAACCTTTCCCTATTGCTCCACTAACACCTCGTTTCATACCTGTTTCCTAAATTCATTCTCCCCCCAGATCTGGTGTTTCCTAAGTCTCGCACTGAACTCAAAATCCTGTAAGTGTCATTACCCCTGTTCACCAGTGAGAACAGCCCGGTGGCAAGCACCCGGAGTGGCCCACAGCCCAGGCCAAGCTTGACTAGAGCAGGAATGAATGGACTGGGTAAAGAGAGTTGGTTCCTTAGACCTCCCTCCCAGCCTCGCATCTGACACCCATGACGGTGACCAGAGGGGACAGAGATATTTTTTAACAAAACCTCTTCAAATCTGCTTTTTTTTTTTTTTTTTTTTTTTGAGACAGTCTCTCTCTGTCGCCCAGGCTAGAGTGCAGTGGCGCGATCTTGACTCACTGCAACCTCAGCCTCCCAGGTTCAAACGATTCTCTTGCCTCAGCCTCCCGAGTAGCTTCGATTACAGGCAGGTGCCACCAGCCAACTAATTTTTTGTATTTTGTAGAGACAGGATCTCGCCATGTTGGCCTGGCTGGTGTTAAACTCCTGAGCGCAGGCAATCCGCCTGCCTCGGCCTCCTAAAGTGCTGGGATTACAGCCATGAGCCACTGCACCCACCCTGTTTTTCTTTATTTTAAAATTGATTGGCTCTTAAACAATTTGACTTTCAAGTGTAGCCTCTGAATTGTTAATTAATATATTTATTCCTCTTGAAATTCTCGAAATAGATTTATCTGTTAAAAAATGCCTGTTTCTGGTTTATCCATTTAAATGTAAGAGGCTTATCACATTCATTAGCTGTTTCAAAATCCACTTCCTGTTCTCGGGCTCTACACCACCCACTGACCCTTTCCCTCATTGCTTGAGTGTGACAAAGCGTGTCGTGTGAGTGGGCACTGTGCAGGTGTAGGTTTTCCGCCCGAGTATCTACGTGGCTTCCTTGGTAATCTAGAACTCCAGCGCGGTGGGCGGGAGCAAGTAGCGGCATCCGGAGGCCCAGAGGCAGCCCACTGTTCCCGACACCGACCTTAACTGCCAACCCTGTCTCTGGCGCATCCCCAGCGGAACTGAAGCTCACCGAGCCTTCGTGCGCCATCGCCAACGCGGTCGCTGCAACGCTGGTGTTTCGGCTGCATCCAAGGCGCCTAACGGTCGCCTAGGAAACTACGCGCTCCGGGTCGCTCGCCCCGCCCACAGTTGCCCGGGAAACCGCGCCGCCCGCAGCTAGTTCCGGCCGCTCACTCCGCCCAAGGGCAGTGCGTACGTGCGTCGTCTCTATGGTGGCGGCGGATTTGGAGGGACCCTACGAACCAGCAGTCAGGCGAGCCGATCTGGGGCTGCGGGTATGACCTCTGACCTAGCCCGGGGGCCTTAGGGATCCGAGCCGAGAGAGAAACCCTTGGGGGTTTCATCACACTTATTTGGCTCGTGGGCTTGGGGGCCATCGGGTGGTTCTGTGTCATCACTATTCCTCCTCTGGGATTCCCCCGTCGCCCCCAAACAGCCCTGGGATTCCCCTGTCTTGCTCCTCGAGACCTTCCCCACGCCTTGTGGCCCTCCCCCATCACCATCCTTGGGGCACCCCATCCCAGGACCCAGTCTCTGGCGTCTTCTGAAATGCTCGCTGATAGCTGCCCTCCTGCATCTCCGCTGCGTCTGTTGGTTGCGCGCCTGGTGATTCGGGTACACCTTCCCACAGGATGTTTCGCTGGGAGCGCTCCATTCCCCTTCGAGGTTCGGCCGCCGCCCTGTGCAACAACCTCAGTGTGCTGCAGCTGCCGGCTCGCAACCTCACGCATTTTGGTGTGGTTCATGGACCAAGCGCCCAGCTTCTTAGCACTGCTCCTGAGGGTGTACCTTTGGCCCAGCGCCAGCTCCACGCTAAGGAGGGTGCTGGAGTGAGCCCCCCACTTATCACTCAGGTGAGGCATGGAGTTGGGAGTGATGTTGCTGAACCCAGCCCTACCCCCTGCCCTTTCTCTCCAAACCTCCAGGAGCAGGCATGTCCTGACCTCAGAATCTCCACTCTTATGCTGGGCGTGGTAGCTCACGCCTGTAATGCCAGCACTTTGGGAGGCCGAGATGGGCGGATCACATGAGGTTAGGAGTTCGAGACCAGCCTGGCCAACACGGTGAACTTCTTTTCTACTAAAAATACAAACATATTAGCCAAGTATGGTGGTGTGTGCCTGTAATCCCAGCTACCTTGGAGGCTGAGGCAGGAGAATAACTTGAACCCGGGAGGCTGAGGTTGCAGTTAGCCAAGATCACGCCACTGCACTCCAGCCTGGGCGACAGAGCAAGACTCCGTCTCAAAAAACAAAAGAAAAGAAAAGAAAGAAATCTGACTCCTCATCATCCCTGCTTTGATTTTCTCCCTACACTGATGCACCTCCCTCCAGGTCCACTGGTGTGTCCTCCCCTTCCGAGTACTGCTGGTACTCACCTCACATCGAGGAATACAGGTAAGGACTTTCCTGCTTGCCCCACCAGAGCCTTCTCAGCTCCCCTGCCAGGCTTCTAGACTCTTTCCTACTTGCCTCTAAACATTTCCAAACTTTCCACATGCTTGGCCCACTCACTCTTTTTCTATTTCTTATCTTCAATCCTTCCATCTTTTCCATTTCCCAAGTGCCACCTCCAGTATCTGCCCCTTTACTAGTTGTATGCCCTTACAGTATTTCCTCAGCCTCACTGTCGTCCTCTGAATACATGAGGATAAAAAATAGCACCTACATCCCAGGTTTGTTTTGAAGATTAAATGGGCTAAGGCTATCATGATA